CGTGGCCGGGAATCGAACCCGTGCGTTTGCGGACCCTCCGGTCCAAAGCCGCGCGCGTTACCACTGTACCACGGCGGCCCCCACACATACATATATATATATATATATATATATATATATATATATATATATATATATATATATATATACATATATGTGTGTATACACACACACACATATGTATATATATGTATATGTACATATATATGTATATATATACATATATATATAAATATATGTATATACATATATATATATATTATATAAATTATAAGGGTGTTTACAGAGACGTAAATACAAAACGGACATGATTAACTCAAAATTATATTTCCGGACAGGAATTTCTACATATAATTCTTATAGAGAAACATTGGTTGTTGTTAACATTTTCTCTCAATAGATTTTCCTTCGTCTTTATATTACATTCCAAAATAAAGGTTAGTGTCACGGTCTACTGCAACATGTTATATTAACCTTCATTTGCAAGACATTTATACACGATCGCTTTATTGATATTGCCTCTGTATCATTTCGTATTAACGCTATCGTCACCTTAATAGTTATCATGACTGAACGAAAGATACGCTAAACAGAGGGTAATAACTTGTGATACGTGTCCTTAATATAGTTAATAATTTACTCAGAAAGCAGAGATAATTATATTAACACTAACTAATATGTTCATTTCTATATTCACATGATAACCGATGTTTTTTTGTTTTTTTGTTTTTTTGATACGAGATTGGTAAGTCGTGTAAATATACTTCGAAAATGAGCGGAGATAATCAAAAGAGATCTGAAATGCGCATTTTTAAACATACACACTCGTGTGTGTGTGTGTTTGAGCACACACACACATACACATACACAGATATATATATGTATATATATACATACATATATATATATATATATATATATATATATATATATATATATACATACATACATACACACACACACACACAAACACACACACACATGTATACAAAAAAAAAAAATATATATATATACACACATACACACACACACACACACACACACCCACACATACACACACACATATATATATATATATATATATATATATATATATATATGTATATATACACGCTTCTATCTATCTATCCACACACACACACACAAACACACATACACACATGTATATAATTATATATATACATATATATACAAACTCACACACACACACACATATATATATACATGCAAACACACACACACACACACACACACACACACACATATATATATATATATATATATATATATATATATATATTTATATAAATATACATATATGTGTGTGTGTGTGTAGATATGTATATATATACATATATAGATAGATAGATGCGTGTGTATATATATGTGTGTGTGTGTATGTGTATATATGTATTTATATATACATACACATATACACACACTCACACATACACACATATATACATATATATACACATACACGCGCATCTATCTATATATATATATCTACACACACATACATACACACACATACACACACACGTATATATAAATATGATGTGATGTGTGTGTGTGTGTGTATGTGTGTGTGTATGTATACACACACACACACATACACACGGTATACACATTGAATTCATTATAGATATACTTGGGGTTCTCCACAAAAAAAAGAAAAATTGTTACGAATAAAAACCTCAAATCACTCCACATCTCATCACTATAAGAAACAAAACCCATTTTTAAAAAAAACGAAATCACTGCCTTCCCGACCTACTTTCCGAGACCTACCCCCCCACCCCCTCACCCACTCCCTACCCACCCAACCACAACAACCCCCCCACCCCACCCCCCAACCCCCTCACCATTATCACCCTCACCGCCTCTGTCACCGGAACGCGCATGCGCATTTGGTGGTTTAGTGAAGACCTTATATATTGCAGCGTTGAAGGCAGTGGCGACACTCAACGTTCCTCAAGGCAACGACGGGCCTCCCTTCGCCAGCACCATGCCCGCTGTGAGTAGCCGGACTATATGCACTGATTTTGATGTATATCCGTTAATTTGTGTGTGTGTGTGTATGTATTTATGTATATACATTCATATATATATATATACATATACATACATATATACATACATGTGAAGTATATGTATATATATACATATATATGTATGTATATATACTTATATGTGTATGTGATGTGATATATATATATGTATATATATGTATATATATATTTATATATATATGATTATATCTATATATATATATATATGTATTTATATATATATTTATTTATATATATATATGTATATATATATACATATAAATGTAAATATGTATATGTATATTCATTTATTATATATATACATACATATATATGTATGTGTGTGTGTGCATGTGTGTGTGTATATGAATGTGTGTGTGTGTGTGTGTGCGTGTTTGTGCCATAAATGTATGTATATATATATAAATATATATGTATGTATGTATGCGTATATATATACATATATGCATATATATATATATATGCATATGTATATATGTATGTATATATCTATATATATGCATGTATATCCATATGTACTATATGTGTATGTATGTATATATATACGTACACGCACACACACAAATACACATTTATATATACACACACATGCACATACACACAAATATATACATATATATATATATATATATATATATATATATATATATGTGCGTGTGTTATATATATGTTATATATAATATATATATATATATATATATATATATATATATATATATATATTTACATATACTTGTGTGCATACATAAATACATACATACAAACACACACACAATATATACACATATATATTGGCCATATTGATATTATAATGTACCTTACCAGAACACCTTTCTTTTATCTTGTTTTTATACATCTGCATATATCACGGAAATATGCCTAATCATCATATTAAAGACGAACATCTTCATGGTTCTGTGTAATGCCTTTTTTAAATGACTGCTTCAACGTTTCCTGGGCGCTCATTGGCGATGAAGTTTGTCTCTGATTGGTCGATCACGTGACACGCAACCGACAGGGAAAATCAGTTAAACTTTTCTGCATAAATTAATTTTGCCTTCGGAACTGCTCTTTTAACTCGGTTGTGCGGGTAAAGCAGTAGTAAAATCGTTTAGAACCCTAATTTGCGCGGTCAAGCCGTTAATTCGGAACTCAAGAAACTAGACCACTTTTGACGAAATGTGTTTATTGTGTAACAAACAAGATGGCGGACTTGCATGAAGGAATGACTTTAAGTGTTCAGTCCGGTGATGAATCTGTTAGGATTAATTATTTTTTTTTCCTATGTATCTACTTAAATAAAACAACCAAAATAAGGTCCCTAAGTCAGAAAAGTCCATCAGAATGTTGTTCGAATAGGCCGTTTCGAATCCTGAAAACACTAGTTCGAAATCTTTGTGACAAAATCTTGGCTAGGCTATTTACTCATCTCTCATCTGTCTTCCTACTTGCTTATATGACAAGATACAGGAGTTGGTGGCTAACATTTCTGTTTTTTCTTCTATTTATAACCGCAAACACAAACTACAATAGAATCACTGACCTAGAAAAGTTTCCCCTAAACATCGACGGTTAAGGCTACACAAAACTGAAATCTGGAAGACATATTTTTATAGGTTATTAATCTAGCGTCATGTTTCTTTTTTTTTTTTTTTTTTTATTGAAGTTCTTTTTTTTCGCAGGCGTCGCCGAAGATGCTGTTGGCGCTGGCTGCCGCATGCGTCCTCCTTGGCACCGCATCAGCCGAGGAGAGTCACCTGCGCTGCCGCCGCCAAAACCTTTGTGGGACGCCATTATATGATAACCATCCATGCTGTTTGAAGCTCCTCCCCACATCTCCACCCCAACCTACTTACCCGCCTCCACCTCCTCCCATCTACCGTCCTCCACCCCCACCTCCTCCTACTTACCCACCCCCACCCCCACCTACTTACCCACCTCCACCCCCTCCCACTTACCCACCGCCACCTCCTCCTACTTACCCACCCCCACCTCCCCCCACTTACCCACCTCCACCCCCTCCCACTTACCCACCTCCACCTCCTCCACTAGTATGTCCACCTCCCACTATGCCACCGATCTATCCACCTGTTTACCCACCCGTATGTATTCCTCCACCCCCACCCACTCAACCGCCACCACCTCCTCCCACGTACATACCTCCTCCTCCCCCTACTCTTCCACCTCCTCCTCCACCTACATACATTCCTCCACCTCCACCCACTCGTCCACCTCCTCCTCCACCCACGTACATACCTCCTCCTCCCCCTACTCGTCCACCTCCCCCTCCACCTACATACATTCCTCCACCTCCACCCACTCGTCCACCTCCTCCTCCACCCACGTACATACCTCCTCCTCCCCCTACTCGTCCACCTCCTCCTCCCCCACTTATATGCCCACCTCCCACTCTTCCACCAATATATCCACCAACTCAGCCTCCTATTTGCATTTTGCCCACTCAACCACCACCACCTCCTCCTCCACCTACATACATCCCTCCACCGCCACCCACTCTTCCACCCCCACCTCCACCTACATACATCCCTCCACCGCCACCCACTCTTCCACCCCCACCTCCACCTACATACATCCCTCCTCCTCCACCTACTCGTCCACCTCCACCTCCACCTACATACATCCCTCCTCCTCCACCTACATACATCCCTCCTCCTCCACCTACATACATCCCTCCTCCTCCACCTACTCGTCCACCTCCACCTCCACCTACATACATCCCTCCTCCTCCACCTACTCGTCCACCTCCACCTCCCCCTACATACATCCCTCTTCCTCCACCTACTCTTCCACCTCCACCTCCACCTACATACATCCCTCCACCGCCTCCAACATACCCACCACCTCCTCCTCCAACTTACCCACCTCCTCCCCCTCCAACTTACCCACCTCCTCCCCCTCCAACTTACCCACCTCCTCCTCCTCCAACTTACCCACCTCCTCCTCCTCCAACTTACCCACCTCCTCCTCCTCCAACTTACCCACCTCCTCCTCCTCCAATATATCCACCTCCTCCACTCCCATGTACAGCAACTGACCCAATCTGTATTCCTACTATGTCATCCGGGTAAGTCCACAGTGAAAGATCATGGGGCTTGTGTTCCTTATGTTCATTAAACAATCGAGGTCCTACTTCAGGAATTACAGCTTGAGTATGAACTGTATATCAGTATGTGTGTATGTTTGTTTATGTGTGCGTGTGTATGTTTGTGTATGTGTGCGTGTGTATGTGTATTTTTATTTTCTTAGTTTATTTCCTCCACAAAAAGTTCAATATATTTCCTAGGTTTGTTTCCATTCTGTCTAGCCTTCTCTGAATTATTGTCTAACCTCAGTCTGGGAGAGAAAGTCGCGAGCCAGCTGCCAAAATAAACACATAGGATTTTGCTTTTCCAACGTCTTTTAAATGTTTTCTGCCATGTCTTTATATTGCCGTTCCTAACCCCTTTTCGTGCAAAAGGGGTTAGGGTGTGGTGAGATAATGCATGGAATATGTGTAATAACTCTAATATAATTGTATGAATTGGAAGACAAGCTACTCAACCAAAGAAATAGGGTCTTATCTTAAATTCTTTTATTGATGGCAGAACCCATGGATATTCCATAGAATATAATAATATTAATGATAATAGTATTAATTATAAAAATAATGATAATATTAATAGTAATAATAATAACAATAAAATGAAAGACATTCCTCTTTCCCTCTTTGAGCCTCCATCTCCCTGTCGCTTCCTCTCTTCCTCTTCCATTTCCTCTCCCTGTAGCATTCCCTTCCCGGTTCTGGCAGCCCATCTCATATTCCGTGAATTCACTCCTGTCCCACTTTAAGCCTTACCCTTCCCCTCCCCCCTTTTACCATTATTCTCATCCCCCCTCCGGATGATGATTCCAATAATAATGATAATGATAATAATGATATAATACTAATAGTAACAGTAATAATAATAATAATAGTAACAGTAATATTGATGATAATAATAATAATAATGGTAAATTTTAAATAACTTATTCCAAGTCCGCAGTCAAACAGAATATATTTTCTGGAGTTAATTCACTATTTACTTAATATTTTAAAACAGTTTTTACAAACAGTTCTCTTCATATTTTTTATGTATTGCACATATTGTTAACAATATACAATTATAGACTTTTTTGTCATTATAACAGTTGCTGTGACGTCTGTCCTCCGGCTGTTGATATCTGCCCCCTCACGGGGCTACCAATCTTGTCACGGCTTAGAAGACGAGCGCAGGTGAGGAGGCAGCGGCTACAATGGTTGTTTCCATGTAGTTTCCCTGTAGTGATTGGTAGTTGTCTTATTTGTTTTGTTTGTTTATTGAGACAATTTTGATTCTCCTCTCATTCTCTCTACCTCTCAGCTTTTATATAACACATTTCTCCTCAAACGGCTCGTTTATCTGTCCCTCTCTAGCGCCAGTGCGGTTTGGACGCCCACTGCCCCAGCGACTCCGTGTGCTGTGCCGACCAGTGCCACCATCACAACAAAATCTGCAAGAGGAAGCCGAGGAGTGTGAACGCTGTGGCTAACCTTCCTTCTAAGGTCGATTTATGTTGTGATTATTGTGGCATTATAGCATGATATGATGATATGGATTTATCGTTTTCGGTATAGTGTGTGGTTTGGTGATGTTTCTTTAAGTCTGATCTCCCTTTTTTTGTAACTGATTCTGTTGTCTTGGTCATAAATGAAGATCTAGATACTACATAATATACTGATTCTATGATAGTAAAACTTGTCAAAGTTCGACATGAACTTAAAGATTCGTAGGGAACATATAACGTTTTGAAATTCCTAACCCCCTCCCTTCTAATTTACCTTTCATTATCTTTCTCTACTAATTCCCCCTCAACCGTAATACACACACTAAAAGCCCGCCAACTGTATTCAGCCAAACTATTGCTTTATTAACCAGGTGAATGTGACAGTCATCATGACCTCAGCCTCGGCCGACAGCCAGCAGGTCCTGTCCTCTTACCTCGTTCCTCTTGAGCTGTCTCTGCGGGACCACGTCAAGGTGGAGGTCGTGCCTTTCGGCATGGTGGAGGTGAGTCACTGACATTGGCTTATATGTGTGTGTGTGTATAATTGTGTGTATGTATATATATGTATATATATATACACGCTGTGCGTGTGCATTTATATATATACATATATATACATATATACATATATATGTAAATATATATATTGTGTATATATATATTATATATATACATACAAATTATGTATATGTGTATATATATGTATATATATACACGCTGTGCGTGTGCATTTACATATATGTAAATTTATATATGTAAATATATATATACATATATATTGTATATATATAAATCATATGTATTATATATATAGATCATATACATATATTATATAATATATATATATACAAATTATATGTATTATATATATATATAAATCATATATATATATATTATATAATATGTATATTATAATATATATATTATATAATATATATATATGCCCCCGTTACACGCTTATCGACAGCGCAACAACAACCAATGCTCTCCCTCCCCTCCCAGAACGGCGGGTGCCAGCACGGGCCCGGCGACTGCCTTGGGAACCGTCTCATTTCGTGCGCCGTCCGCCACCTCCCCGTTGCCGACGGAGGCTTGGCATTCGCTACTTGCCTCATGGAACACCAGAAGCACCTGAGGTCGAACGAACACTCGAGCATCTTGTCCGCGGCTTTGACGGTTAGTGTTCGGTTCTTCGGCCGTTATTTATGCGTGTTTTGTTTGTGATGGATTGTTTGGTTGGTTTGGGATTCTTTGCTTTTGTCTTTGTAGTTGTATGTAGATTTAGGTTTTGCTTTGTTTTATTCTTTTTTGTTCGTGCAGATTTGTTATTGAATTGATTTTTTGATGGCTGATTACTGATTATTTTTTTTCAATTGTCGGGGTTTGTGGTTATTTCCTGATTAGTTGTTTAAGTATCTTAATGCTTGTTTTTTGTTGATATTTGATAGTCAGTCACTTTATTAGTTGCTCATTTTCATTCATTTTCTCAGTTGCATTGTATATTCGTTTTGTTTTTCGATTATTTTAGGTCATTCCTCGTCTCATGTTTTTTTCCCTTTAAGTTTTAGTCATCTTTACATTTTTGTAAATCTTTTGCATTACCGCATTTTTTTGTTACTATATTCTTTTTATCGGCACTATTTATTTAGATTAATGATGTTGATATTGTTTTGAATTTTGAATTGAATTTTGATATTGCAAACATGCTCATTACCCTACTATACTATCGTTATCATCACTATGACCACCACCACCATCCCCTACCACCACCAATTTTTTGAAATTTTACAACCCCCCTCCCCCCCTCTTCCTTTTCCAGTGTGCCGAAGGGTCGAGAAGAAACACCAAAGCATTCTACAAGTGCAGCGTAGGTCCTGAGGGTTACCAGCTGTTTGCGGCAGCTGCTAAGAGGCAGTACCAGCTGGTATCTTCCCTCTCTTACGTACCAACTGTGCTGATCGATGGGGTGAGTGTGATGGGGAGAGGGAGAGAGAGGGAGGGAAGGGGGGAAAGGTAGATGGGAAGGAGTGAGAGAGGAAAGAGGGAGGGAGGGGGAAGGAGAGAGGGAGGGGGGGAAGAGGGAGGGAGGGAGGGAGAGGAAAAGAGGATGGGGGAAGAAGAGAGAGGGAGAGAAAGGGAAAAAGGAAGGGGGAAATTTTGAAGAAATCATAGTCATGCAATTAAATACTTGATATTAACCCCCCCAAAAAAAAGTAAATAAAGAAAAAGAATCTTATTTGACACTTGAAATTTACTCGAAACACGTTAAAGCTTGACGTTTACTTGAAACCCTTCAAAACTTACAATGTACCTGTAATTCACATGAAACTTTTTGATATTTCAACCTTAAAAACTCCTTCACACTTGAAATTCTCTTAACCTATTGAAAATCACACTGAATTTCACATAAAACTTTTTAATTCGCAGAATTCACTTTACTTCTCGAAATTCGGTTGAATTTAACTTTTCCACCTGACACCCTCTTTTTCTCTCACGCAGGAAGTGGTCGTGAAAAGCAACGAAGACATGGCAAAGCTCCCGTTAGTGTTGTGTAATAAACTCAACCACGTACCTCGAGTTAAATCTTATTGCCAGGATTACATGAAAACGCAAGTCAAAAACTGAATGAAAACGGAAAAAATGAAGTTGAAAGTATTTTTGGATAATTGTGTTTTGCTTGTTTACAGGAAATAAAAGAAATTGTCATTGATTTTGTGTGTTTTCTTTTCCGTTTATTGAGTGACGTAGTTGGAAATCGAATGAATTGTTTGAATTTTAAACAAAGAACCTCGGGTAGTTGTTTTTTTGTTTAAAAACAAATATTGTGCCTTCGTTTCCATCTATCATTTTTTTCTTTTAAGAACTAGAGAATGCCATTTAACCTGTTTGTTTTTACTTTCAATTTATCAAAGGTGTTTCGTCTGAAAAGAAATAACTGGAAACTTGATGACTTTTCATTTTTTCTAGTATAAAATAAATATATAAATAAATTTAACCTCTTTACGTCTTTTCTTTTCTTTCCTGATGCAACACTAATGTACATCAATGTAAAATATTTTAAATGATCAGTATATAATCAGGACTGAATTACCCTTTCAATTTCTGACCAAACTGAATTTCTAATTAAAAAAAAAAAATAATAAAATAAAATAAAATACAAAAAGGCTTGCAGAATTAAACAATAAAACCATTATATATAAGCGAGAGACAGGGAGAGAGAAAATAAATATATATATAAGCGAGAGAGAATGAGCGGGAGGGAGAGAGAGTGAGGAAGGGAGAAAAAGAGAGAGAGAGAGAGAGCGGGTACGTCTTTTTCTCGCTCCTTTTCATTTTAAGTATTTTCAAGCACCCCTATTTTTTTCCAGAATGAAATAAAGGGTAAATAAATGGACATTGTAACTTACTCGATAAAATGTTTTTTTTCCCTCATGGATTTGAAGATGGGTCATGGCTTTAATCAAGCCACTTACGTTTTACAATACAGCCCTTTCAGATTTTTGTTTTATTATAGAGATGCTGCAATATAGCTTTTTTTGTTATCTGTGATTTAACCTTCTGCCAATTTCTTAGTTATTTCAACACACATGTATATATATGTATAGATATACATATATACATTATATATAATATAGATATTATATATCTATTATATGTGTTTGTTTGTTACCTTTCTTATTATATTTGTTCTCTATCATTTTCCCTTTCAATATACAGTATGTATATACATATATATATACATACATACATACAAACATATATGTATATATATATGCGTGTGTGTAGATATACATATACACATACATATATATACATACATGTATATATATACATATATATATAATACACACATACACACACAAAATCGACTGTATAACATCAATAAAAATAACTATTTACAATGTGAACAGAAATGTATATACAACTATCACTACTACTACTAAAATGACCAATGGCTTAATGACAATAGCACCAATAAGCATAATGCTTAAAACAATGATTGCGAATCATATCAATAATGGAAAGATAATCAATAGCAATAACAACAAACCTCACATACCTGGTCCTCGCCTGTGTCTCCGCTTCCCTGATTTCTCAGCAGGCGTTTCAATGGTACCTGGGCTTCCATACAAACGTATTCCTGTTCACATGCGTCAAAACAACACCGTCGGTTACCTTCACAGTCTCTGTCTAACTTACACACAGGCTGCGAAAAGAGGTGGAGGCTAGAATAGGATGTATATTTTTTGTTTCTGATACGTATACATGCTGAATGTTATTGCTGATAATGATTATCTAATGATAGTAATTTGGAAATAACTATGATGTATATAATCTCTTGAAAGAAAGACTACTAACTCACACAAAACTCTGGAATTGGCCTGTGGCGATTCGCTAAATATCTTTCTAAAAATAATTATAATCCTAATAACAGCCGAGTGGCGTTGCAAACAGCAAATAATAGATAAGAAATATATGATGGCAGTAATTACATGTGTTCCAAATATACAAAATACGATGTAAGCACCACTTTCTTATTTTTAAACGCACAAGACTCGAACACTCCACACTATCTGGGTGAGTTGTCATCTTTTACTTTCCTGAGACTAAACGCAGTATGCGTGGTTGAATCAGATTAACGAGAGGAAGACATTTTATATTACAATAAATAAATTACAGTATTACAATATATCTCACTATATACTATTGCGATCATGCTAAACACCTAAAAGTTGTAATGTTTAAGTAAAAAGAAATTGGCTCATAATGATAACAATCATACACACACACACACACATAAAGACACATTTAAGAAAGAACTAGAGACAAACGTACAAGTGGTTAAACGTACAAGTGCGCTCCTATACAAGACCATAACCTTACCTGCGTCTCTCCAGCTGAACGGCGTCTGTCCGCTGAGTAATCGCTGGTCTGGGCTGGGCATTGTCCTTTCTCATCCGATAAGGAACCTAGATTTACGTCATCAGCACGTGTAGTGTTACTGTGCTCTTAAAAAGGAATGTGAATTTCAATTGTAAGACAATACGTTTATTAAATATTCTGTCAATTCAAACCGTCCTGTATAACATGAGCATCGATACATTAACTTTAATACTCTTTTTCATGCATTTAGTGCATGGAAGTTAAGACATCGATGTTTATGCTATAGATGAAAGCTATATTTAGATACTAAGCAAAGTATTTGAAAAATTGGTCTGGCGCACGTACCCCCATATAAGCCATGTTATTGACTGATAAAGTGATTTTTTGTATTCAAAATGATGATACTGAAAATCATAATGATGATAATGCCATGGTGATTATGATGGTGGTGGTGGTGTGGTATCACCACATGCATATATATACATACACACACAAAGAAAATATTAAGATAGCTGACTTAATTCAATATTGTTAATCAACTAGAGGTAAATAAACTCCCTGACGTTATTGAATATCCTAATTAATATTTCTAGCAAATATTAATCGGCTTTCGGCAGACATTTGAAATAATAATAAATAAACGAAAATCAGCTCACTCAAATTCATGTAATGTAGTTTAGCAACATATACCCTTAAAGTACCGACGCCTTACCAACATTTGAATTTCGGAAATATACCCGTTTCATTCTTTCACATACACACTTTCTCTGCCTTTCTATATTTCTTCATAAATACATTTCTTCACTTTCCCTCTATTTCGTTCGTTAAAAATAATCAATTCTTTCTTGTTTTCTGGTTTGTTTCTTTGAATCATTCATAAATCAATTCCCTCTTCTTTTCTCTCATTCATGCATATTATCTCTATTATTGACTTTCTTCCTTCTTTCCTTCATTTCTCCCCTTTCCATATTTCTGTCTGTTCGGCATTACTAGCTTCCTTCCGGATCATCTGAATTTCTTGAAATAATAAAATATCCCCCCACCCCCTCACCCACTCCCTACCCACCCAACCACAACAACCCCCCACCCCACCCCCCAACCCCCTCACCATTATCACACTCACCGCCTCTGTCACCGGAACGCGCATGCGCATCTGGTGGTTTAGTGAAGACCTTATATATTGCAGCATTGAAGGCAGCGGCGACACTCAACGTTCCTCAGTGCAACGACGGGCCTCCCTTCGCCAGCACCATGCCCGCGGTGAGTAGGCCGGACTATATGCACTGATTATGATGTACATCCGTTAAATTGTGTGTGTATGTATTTATGTATATACATTCATATATATATATATACATATATACATACATGTGAAGTATATGTATATATATACATATATATGTATGTATATATACTTATATGTGTGTGTGATGTGATGAATATATGTATGCATATATATGTATATATATTTATATATATATGATTATATTTATATATATGTACATATATATTTATATATATATGTGTGTGTGTGTATATATATATACATATATCTGTAAATATGTATATGTATATTCATTTATTATATATATATATATACATACATATATATCTCTCTATATATATATGTATGTGTGTGTGTGTATATGAATGTGTATGTGTTTGTGTGCATGTGTGTGTGCCATATATGTATGTATATATATATAAATATATATGCATGTATGTATGCGTATATATATACATATATGCATATATATGTGCATATATATGTATGTATATATTCATATATATGCATGTATATCCATATGTACTATATGTGTATGTATGTATATATATACGTACACACACACACAGACATACACACATTCATACACACACACATAAATATATACATATATATATGTGTGTGTTATATATGTTATATATAATATATATATATTTACATATACTTGTGTGCATACATAAATACATACATACATACAAACACATATATATACATACATATATATGTTATTTTGTGTGTTCGTGTGTCTGTGTGTGTGTGCGTGTGCGTGTGTGTGTGTATATATATATGTATATATATGTATATATATGTATATACACATATATATTGGTCATATTGATATTATAATGTCCCTTACCAGAACACCTTTCTTTTATCTTGTTCTTATACACCTGCATATATCACGGAAATATGCCTGATCATCATATTAAAGACGAACATCTTCATGGTTCTATGTAATGCCTTTTTTAAAGGACTGCTTCAACGTTTCCTGAGCGCTCATTGGCGGAGAAGTTTGTCTCTGATTGGTCGACCGGATCACGTGACACGCAACCGACAGGGAAAATCAGTTAAACTTTTCTGCATAAATTAATTTTGCCTTCGGAACTGCTCTTTTAACTCGGTTGTACGGGTAAAGCAGTAGTAAAATCGTTTAGAACCCTAATTTGCGCGGTCAAGCCGTTAATTCGGAACTCAAGAAACTAGATCGCTTTTGACGAAATGTGTTTATTGTGTAACAAACAAGATGGCGGACTTGCATGAAGGAATGACTTTAAGTGTTCAGTCCGGTGATGAATTTGTTAGGAGTAGGAATAACACTTAATTCATTTTTTCCCTATGTATCTACTTAAATAAAACAACCAAAATAAGGTCCCTAAGTCAGAAAAGTCCATCAGAATGTTGTTCGAATAGGCCGTTTCGAATCCTGAAAACACTAGTTCGAAATCTTTGTGACAAAATCTTGGCTAGGCTATTTACTCATCTCTCATCTGTCTTCCTACTTGCTTTATATGACAAGATACAGGAGTTGGTGGCTATCATTTCTGTTTTTTCTTCTATTCATAACCGCAAACACAAACTACAATAGAATCACTGACCTAGAAAAGTTTCCCCTAAACATCGACGGTTAAGGCTACACAAAACTGAAATCTGGAAAACATATTTTTATAGGTTATTAATCTAGCGTCATGTTTATTTCTTTTTTTTTCGCAGGCGTCGCCGAAGATGCTGTTGGCGCTGGCTGCCGCATGCGTCCTCCTTGGCACCGCATCAGCCGAGGAGAGTCACCTGCGCTGCCGCCGCCAAAACCTTTGTGGGACGCCATTATATGATAACCATCCATGCTGCTTGAAGCTCCTCCCCACATCTCCACCCCAACCTACTTACCCGCCTCCACCTCCTCCCATCTACCGTCCTCCACCTCCTCCTATCTACCGTCCTCCACCCCCACCCCCTCCCACTTACCCACCTCCTCCACTAGTATGTCCACCTCCCACTATGCCACCGATCTATCCACCTGTTTACCCACCCGTATGTATTCCTCCACCCCCACCCACTCAACCGCCACCACCTCCTCCCACTTACCCACCTCCACCCCCTCCCACTTACCCACCCCCACCCCCACCTACTTACCCACCTCCACCCCCTCCCACTTACCCACCCCCACCCCACCCCCACCTACTTACCCACCTCCACCCCCACCTACTTACCCACCCCCACCTCCTCCTACTTACCCACCCCCACCTCCCCCCACTTACCCACCTCCACCTCCTCCACTAATATGTCCACCTCCCACTATGCCACCGATCTATCCACCTGTTTACCCACCCGTATGTATTCTTCCTCCACCCCCACCCACTCAACCGCCACCACCTCCTCCCACGTACATACCTCCTCCTCCCCCTACTCGTCCACCTCCTCCTCCACCTACATACATTCCTCCACCCCCACCTACTTACCCACCTCCACCCCCTCCCACTTACCCACCGCCACCCCCTCCCACTTACCCACCTCCACCTCCTCCACTAATATGTCCACCTCCCACTATGCCACCGATCTATCCACCTGTTTACCCACCCGTATGTATTCTTCCTCCACCCCCACCCACTCAACCGCCACCACCTCCTCCCACTCAACCACCTCCACCCCCACCCACTCAACCGCCACCACCTCCTCCCACTTACCCACCCCCACCTCCCCCCACTTACCCACCTCCACCCCCTCCCACTTACCCACCTCCACCCCCACCCACTCAACCACCTCCACCCCCACCCACTCAACCGCCACCACCTCCTCCCACTCAGCCACCCCCACCTCCTCCCACTCAGCCACCCCCACCTCCTCCCACTCAGCCACCCCCACCCCCACCCCCACCCACTCAACCGCCACCACCTCCTCCCACTTACCCACCTCCACCCCCACCTACTTACCCACCCCCACCTCCTCCCACTTACCCACCTCCTCCACTAGTATGTCCACCTCCCACTATGCCACCGATCTATCCACCTGTTTACCCACCCGTATGTATTCCTCCACCCCCACCCACTCAACCGCCACCACCTCCTCCCACGTACATACCTCCTCCTCCCCCTACTCGTCCACCTCCTCCTCCACCTACATACATGTGTGCGTGTGTATGTTTGTGTATGTGTGCGTGTGTATGTTTGTGTATGTGTGCGTGTGTATGTTTGTGTATGTGTGCGTGTGTATGTTTGTGTATGTGTGCGTGTGTATGTTTGTGTATGTGTGCGTGTGTATGTTTGTGTATGTGTGCGTGTGTATGTTTGTGTATGTGTGCGTGTGTATGTTTGTGTATGTGTGCGTGTGTATGTTTGTGTATGTGTGCGTGTGTATGTTTGTGTATGTGTGCGTGTGTATGTTTGTGTATGTGTGCGTGTGTATGTTTGTGTATGTGTGCGTGTGTATGTTTGTGTATGTGTGCGTGTGTATGTTTGTGTATGTGTGCGTGTGTATGTTTGTGTATGTGTGCGTGTGTATGTTTGTGTATGTGTGCGTGTGTATGTTTGTGTATGTGTGCGTGTGTATGTTTGTGTATGTGTGCGTGTGTATGTTTGTGTATGTGTGCGTGTGTATGTTTGTGTATGTGTGCGTGTGTATGTTTGTGTATGTGTGCGTGTGTATGTTTGTGTATGTGTGCGTGTGTATGTTTGTGTATGTGTGCGTGTGTATGTTTGTGTATGTGTGCGTGTGTATGTTTGTGTATGTGTGCGTGTGTATGTTTGTGTATGTGTGCGTGTGTATGTTTGTGTATGTGTGCGTGTGTATGTTTGTGTATGTGTGCGTGTGTATGTTTGTGTATGTGTGCGTGTGTATGTTTGTGTATGTGTGCGTGTGTATGTTTGTGTATGTGTGCGTGTGTATGTTTGTGTATGTGTGCGTGTGTATGTTTGTGTATGTGTGCGTGTGTATGTTTGTGTATGTGTGCGTGTGTATGTTTGTGTATGTGTGCGTGTGTATGTTTGTGTATGTGTGCGTGTGTATGTTTGTGTATGTGTGCGTGTGTATGTTTGTGTATGTGTGCGTGTGTATGTTTGTGTATGTGTGCGTGTGTATGTTTGTGTATGTGTGCGTGTGTATGTTTGTGTATGTGTGCGTGTGTATGTTTGTGTATGTGTGCGTGTGTATGTTTGTGTATGTGTGCGTGTGTATGTTTGTGTATGTGTGCGTGTGTATGTTTGTGTATGTGTGCGTGTGTATGTTTGTGTATGTGTGCGTGTGTATGTTTGTGTATGTGTGCGTGTGTATGTTTGTGTATGTGTGCGTGTGTATGTTTGTGTATGTGTGCGTGTGTATGTTTGTGTATGTGTGCGTGTGTATGTTTGTGTATGTGTGCGTGTGTATGTTTGTGTATGTGTGCGTGTGTATGTTTGTGTATGTGTGCGTGTGTATGTTTGTGTATGTGTGCGTGTGTATGTTTGTGTATGTGTGCGTGTGTATGTTTGTGTATGTGTGCGTGTGTATGTTTGTGTATGTGTGCGTGTGTATGTTTGTGTATGTGTGCGTGTGTATGTTTGTGTATGTGTGCGTGTGTATGTTTGTGTATGTGTGCGTGTGTATGTTTGTGTATGTGTGCGTGTGTATGTTTGTGTATGTGTGCGTGTGTATGTTTGTGTATGTGTGCGTGTGTATGTTTGTGTATGTGTGCGTGTGTATGTTTGTGTATGTGTGCGTGTGTATGTTTGTGTATGTGTGCGTGTGTATGTTTGTGTATGTGTGCGTGTGTATGTTTGTGTATGTGTGCGTGTGTATGTTTGTGTATGTGTGCGTGTGTATGTTTGTGTATGTGTGCGTGTGTATGTTTGTGTATGTGTGCGTGTGTATGTTTGTGTATGTGTGCGTGTGTATGTTTGTGTATGTGTGCGTGTGTATGTTTGTGTATGTATGTGTGTGTATGTTTGTTTATGTGTGCGTGTGTATGTTTGTGTATGTGTGCGTGTGTATGTGTATTTTTATTTTCTTAGTTTATTTCCTCCACAAAAAGTTCAATATATTTCCTAGGTTTGTTTCCATTCTGTCTAGCCTTCTCTGAATTATTGTCTAACCTCAGTCTGGGAGAGAAAGTCGCGAGCCAACTGCCAAAATGAACATAGGAATTTGCTTTTCCAACGTCTTTCAAATGTTTTCTGTCATGTCTTTATATTGCCGTTTCAGTTTTTTCTTCTTTTTTCATGCAAAAGGGGTTAGGGTGTGGTGAGATAATGCATGGAATATAGTGTGTAATAACTCTAATGTAACTGTATGAATTTGAAGACAAGCTACTCAACCAAAGAAATAGGGTCTTATCTTAAATTCTTTTATTGATGGCAGAACCCATGGATATTCCATAGAATAAGATAATAGTAATATTAATGATAATAGTAATAATTATAAAAATAATGATAATATTAATAGTAATAATAATAATAACAATAAAATGAAAGGCATTCCTCTTTCCCTCTTTCACTCCCCTCCCTGTTGCTTCCTCTCTTCCTCTTCCATTCCCTCTCCCTGTAGTATTCCTTTCCCGGTTCTGGCAGCCCATCTCATTGGCAAATATTCCGTGAATTCACTCCTTCTGTCCCACTTTAAGCCTTATCCTTCCCCTCCCCCCTTTTACCATTATTCTCCCCCCCCCCCCCCCGATGATGATTCCGATAATAATGATAATGATAATAATGATATAATAATGCTAATAGTAACAGTAATAATAATAATAATAGTAACAGTAATATTGATAATAATAATAGTAACAGTAATATTGATAATAATAATAATAATGATAATAAAGGTAAATTTTAAATAACTTATTCCAAGTCCGCAGTCAAACAGAATATAATTTCTGGAGTTAATTTTTAATCTACTCAATATTTTAAAATAATTTTTATAAACAGTTCTCCATATATTTTAATATATTGCACATATTGTTAACAGTATACGCATACAGACTTTTTGTCATTATAACAGTTGCTGTGACTTCTGTCCTCCGGTTGTTGATATCTGCCCCCTCACGGGGCTACCAATCTTGTCACGGCTTAGAAGACGAGCGCAGGTGAGGAGGCAGCGGCTGCAATGGTTGTTTCCATGTAGTTTCCCTGTAGTGATTGGTAGTTGTCTTATTTGTTTTGTTTGTTTATTGAGACAATTTTGATTCTCTCTACCTCTCAGCTTTTATATAACATTTCTCCTCAAACGGCTCCTCTGTCCCTCTCCAGCGCCAGTGCGGTTTGGACGCCCACTGCCCCAGTGACTCCGTGTGCTGTGCCGACCAGTGCCACCATCACAACAAAATCTGCAAGAGGAAGCCGAGGAGTGTGAACGCTGTGGCTAACCTTCCTTCTAAGGTCGTTATTTATGTTGTGATTATTGTGGCATTATAGCATGATATGATGATGTTATTATGGATTTATCGTTTTCGCTATAGTGTGTGGTTTGGTGATGTTTCTTTAAGTCTGATCTCCCTTTTTTTGGAACTGATTCTGTTGTCTTGGTCATAAAAGATCTAGATACTACATATATTGATTCTATGATAGTAAAACTTGTCAAAGTTCGACATGAACTTAAAGATTCGTAGGGAACATAACGTTTTGAAATTCCTAACCCTCTCCCTTCTAATTTACCTTTCATTATCTTTCTCTACTAATTCCCCCTCAACCGTAATACACACACTAAAAGCCCGCCAACTGTATTCAGCCAAACTATTGCTTTATTAACCAGGTGAATGTGACAGTCATCATGACCTCAGCCTCGGCCGACAGCCAGCAGGTCCTGTCCTCTTACCTCGTTCCTCTTGAGCTGTCTCTGCGGGACCACGTCAAGGTGGAGGTCGTGCCTTTCGGCATGGTGGAGGTGAGTCACTGACATTGGCTTATATGTGTGTGTGTGTATAATTGTGTGTATGTATATATATGTATATATATATACACGCTGTGCGTGTGCATTTATATATATACATATATACATATATATGTAAATATATATATATTGTGTATATATATATATCATATATATATACATACAAATTATATGTATGTGTATATATATGTATATATATACACGCTGTGCGTGTGCATTTACATATATGTAAATATATATATACATATATATTGTGTACATATATATAAATCATATGTATTATATATATATAGATCATATACATATATTATATAATATATATTATATATATACAAATTATATGTATTATATATATATAAATCATATATATATATTATATAATATATATATTATATAATATATATATATGCCCCCGTTACACGCTTATCGACAGCGCAACAGCAACCAATGCTCTCCCTCCCCTCCCAGAACGGCGGGTGCCAGCACGGGCCCGGCGACTGCCTTGGGAACCGTCTCATTTCGTGCGCCGTCCGCCACCTCCCCGTTGCCGACGGAGGCTTGGCATTCGCTACTTGCCTCATGGAACACCAGAAGCACCTGAGGTCGAACGAACACTCGAGCATCTTGTCCGCGGCTTTGACGGTTAGTGTTCGGTTCTTCGGCCGTTATTTATGCGTGTTTTGTTTGTGATGGATTGTTTGGTTGGTTTGGAATTCTTTGCTTTTGTCTTTGTAGTTGTATGTAGATTTAGGTTTTGCTTTGTTTTATTCTTTTTTGTTCGTGCAGATGTTATTGAATTGATTTTTTGATGGCTTATTACTGATTATTTTTTCAATTGCCGGGGTTTGTGGTTATCTCCTGATTAGTTGTTTAAGTATCTTAATGCTTGTTTTTTGTTGATATTTGATAGTCATTCACTTTATTAGTTGCTCATTTTCATTCATTTTCTCAGTTGCATTGTATATTCGTTTTGTTTTTCGATTATTTTAGGTTATCCCTCGTCTCACATTTTTTTTTAAATTTAAGTTTTATAGTCATCTTTACATTTTTGTAAATCTTTTGCATTACCGCATTTATTTAACTATATTTTTATCGGCACTATTTATTTAGACAAATGATGTTATTGTTTTGAATTTTGATATTGCAAACATGCTCATTACCCTACTATACTATCGTTGTTATCATTATCACTTTGACCACCACCACCAATTTTTTGAAGTTTTACAACCCCCTCCCCCCCTTCCTTTTCCAGTGTGCCGAAGGGTCGAGAAGAAACACCAAAGCATTCTATAAGTGCAGCGTAGGTCCTGAGGGTTACCAGCTGTTTGCGGCAGCTGCCAAGAGGCAGTACCAGCTGGTATCTTCCCTCTCTTACGTACCAACTGTGCTGATCGATGGGGTGAGTGTGATGGGGAGAGGGAGAGAGAGAGAGGGAAGAGGGAGGGATGGGGAAGGAGAGAGAGAGAGGGAAGAGGGAGGGAGAGGAAAAGAGGATGGGGGAAGATGAGAGAGGGAGGGAAAGGGAAAAAGGAAGGGGGAAATTTTGAAGAAATCGTATTCATACAATTAGATACTTGATATTAACCTAAAAAAAAAAAAAAAAAAAAAAAAAAAAAAAAAAAAAAATCTTATTTGACACTTGAAATTTACTTGAAATACGTTAAAGCTTGACGTTTACTTGAAACCCTTCAAAACTTACAATGTACCTGGAATTCACATGAAACTTTTTGATATTTCATCCTTAAAAACTCCTTCGCACTTGAGATTCTCTTAATCTATTGAAAATCACACTGAGTTTCACATAAAACTTTTTTAAATGTCTGAAATTCGCATTCACTTTACTTCTCGAAATTTGGTTGAATTTAACTTTTCCACCTGACACCCTCTTTTTCTCTCACGCAGGAAGTGGTCGTGAAAAGCAACGAAGACATGGCAAAGCTCCCGTTAGTGTTGTGTAATAAACTCAACCACGTACCTCGAGTTAAGTCTTATTGCCAGGATTACATGAACACGCAAGTCAAAAACTGAATGAAAACGGAAAAAAATGAAGTTGAAAGTATTTTTGGATAATTGTGTTTTGTTTGTTTACAGGAAATAAAAAAAATTGTCATTGATTTTGTGTGTTTTCTTTTCCGTTTATTGAGTGACGTAGTTGGAAATCGAATGAATTGTTTGAATTTTAAACAAAGAACCTCGGGTAGTTGTTTTTTGTTTAAAAACAAATAAATATTGTGCATTCGTTTCCATCTATCAGGTTTTCAATCTATCAGTTTTTTTTTCTTTTAAGAACTAGAGAATGCCATTTAACCTGTTTGTTTTTACTTTCAATTTATCAAAGGGGTTTCGTCTGAAAAGAAATAACTGGAAACTTGATGACTTTTCATTTTTTCTAGTATAAAAAAAAAATACATTTAACCTCTTTCCGTCTTTTCTTTTCAATCCATCTGTGAGATATTATTAAGAATATTCTTAGCAAACCCCTTTCTGATGCAACACTAATGTACATCAATGTAAAATATTTTAAATGATCAGTATATAATCAGGACTGAATTACCCTTTCAATTTCTGACCAAACTGAATTTCTATTTTTTTAATAAAAAATGTATTAAAATGAAATACAAAAAGGCTTACAGAATTAAACAATAAAACTATAATATATAAGCGAGAGAGTGAAGAAAAATATATATATGAGAGAGAGAGGGAGCGAGCGGGAGGGAGAGTGAGGAAGGGAGAAAGAGAGGAAGACAGAGATTGAGAGAGGAAGCGAGAGACAGAGAGAGAGAGAGCGGTTACGTCTTTTTCTCGCTCCTTTTCATTTTAAGTATTTTCAAGCACCCCTAGTCTTTTTTTCCAGAATGAAATAAAGGGTAAATAAATGGACTTTGTAACTTACTCGATAAAATGTTTTTTTTCCTCATGGATTTGAAGATGGGTCATGGCTTTAATCAAGCCACTTACGTTTTACAATACAGCCCTTTCAGATTTATTTTGTTTTATTATAGAGATGCTGCAATATAGCCTTTTTTGTTGTATGCGGTTATCTGTGATTTAACCTGCCAATTTCTTAGTTATTTCAACACACACACATATATGTATAGATATACATATATACATTATATATAATATAGATATTATATATATTATATGTGTGTGTTTGTTTGTTACCTTTCTTATTATATTTGTTCTCTATCATTTTTCCTTTAAATATGTAGTATGTATATACATATATATACATACATACATACGAACATATGTGTATATATATATATATATGCGTGTGTGTAGATATACATATACACATACATATATATACATACATACATATATATATAATACACACATACACACACGCGTGTGTGTTCGAACTCGTCCGGAGATCCCCACTAGACGGACAAATAACTGAAATGGATTTATTTTCATCCATTTTGATTATTTGTCCGTCTGGTGAGGATCTCCGGACAAGTTCGAAAGGTTACGCTCATTTTCATTTGTCATTGTCCGTGTTTCTTTTATCTTTGTGTACACGTTACTGCCTTTGTATTTTGTGTTCTTATATATATATTTCTTTATCCATTTTACAATATTTGGTTTTAGATATAGCTAGATTGACAGAGAGAGAGAGAGAGAGAGAGAGAGAGAGAGAGAGAGAGAGAGAGAGAGAGAGAGAGCAGAGACAGGCAGACAAACATAAACAAACAAATGGGACACATCAGAGATAATACCGAGAACACAAATAAATAAAAAAAATCGTGAAAAATGCAACCTCTTTCATTAAACAAACAAAAGGTACAGAAGGTGTCGGCCGGGGGGAGGGGGTGGGGGGTGAAGGGGCGTGACGACCCACTCCCTCGGCGGCCCCAAAGTCGTCTCCTCGAACTGAACGACCTGCTACTGCGGTGGTCACTGGCAATGATGAGAAAGTTATTAACTTAACTATAGAATATGAGAGTGATGGTAACAATTCTACAGTTAAAAGGATGGTGGTGATGGCGATAGGGATAATAACAATATTGATAATGATAATAATGGTAATAATGATGATCTTAGTAATAATGATAATAATGATGATGATCTTAGTAATAATGATAATAATGATCTTAGTAATAATGATAATAATGATGATCTTAGTAATAATGATAATAATGATGATCTTAGTAATAATGATAATAATGATTAAGCTGATAAAGATGATGTTTTCGCTAGTAATAATAATAATAATAATATGATTTCGCTAATAATACTAATAATGACGATGATGATATAATACTAATACAAATAATAATAATAATATCAATGCTAATAGAAATAATAATATTAATGATAACAACAAAATCGACTGTGTAACATCAATAAAAATAACTAATTACAATGTTAACAGAAATGTATATATATACAACTATCACTACTACTAATAAAATGACCAATAGCTTCATGACAACAGCACCAATAAGCATAATGCTTTAAACAATGATTGCGGATCATAACAATAATGGAAAGTGAATCAATAGCAATAACAACAAACCTCACATACCTGGTCCTCGCCTGTGTCTCCGCTTCCCTGATTTCTCCCAGCTTCCATACAAACATATTCCTGTTCACATGCGTCAAAACAGCACCGTCGGTTACCTTCACAGTCTCTGTCTAACTTACACACAGGCTGCAAAAAGAGGTGAAGGCTAGAATAGGATATATATTTTCTCTTGTTTCTGATACGTATAGATGCTGAATGGTATTGCTGATGATAATGATTATCTAATGATAGTAATTTGGAAATAACTATGATGTATACAATCTCTTGAAAGAAAGACTACTAAACTCACACAGAACTCTGGAGTTGGCCTGTGGCGATTCGCTATATATCTTTCTAAAAATAATGATTATAATTATAATAACAGTCGAGTGGCGTTGCAAACAGCAAATAAGAGATAAGAAATATATGATGGCAGTAATTACATGTGTTCCAAATATACAAAATACGATGTAAGCACCACTTTCTTATTTTTAAACGCACAAGACTCGAACACTCCACACTATCTGGGTGAGTTGTCATCTTTTACTTTCTGAGACTAAACGCAGTATGCGTGGTTGAATCAGATTAACGAGAGGAAGACATTTTATATTACAATAAATAAATTACAGTATTACAATATATCTCACTATATACTATTGCGATCATGCTAAACACCTAAAAGTTGTAATGTTTAGGTAAAAAGAAATTGGCTCATAATGATAACAATCATACACCCACACACATACACACATCAGCACCACACATAAAGACACATTTAAGAAAGAACTAGAGACAAACGTACAAGTGGTTAAACGTACAAGTGCGCTCCTATACAAGACCACAACCTTACCTGCGTCTCTCCAGCTGAACGGCGTCTGTCCGCTGAGCAATCACTGGTTTGGGCTGGGCATTGTCCTTGTTCATCTGATAAGGAACCTAGATTTACGTTATCAAGACGTGTAGTGTTACTTTGCCCTTAAAAAGGAATGTGAATTCAGTTGTCAGACATCGATGTTTATGCTATAGATGAAAGCTATATTTAGATACTAAGCAAAGTATTTGAAAAATTGGTCTGGCGCACGTACCCCCATATAAGCCATGTTATTGATTGATGAAGTCATTTTTTATATTCAAAATGATGATACTGAAAATCATAATGATGATAATGACATGATGATTATGATGGTGGTGGTGGTGTGGTATCACCACATGCATATATATATACATATACACACACGCATACACACAAAGAAAATATTAAGAAGATAGCTGACTTAATTCAATATTGTTAATTAACTTTAGGTAAATAAACGCCCTGACGTTATTGAATATCTTTCTGATTAATATTTTTAGGAAATATTAATCGGCTTTCGGCAGATATTTAAAATAATTATAATGATATAAATAGACGAAAATCAGCTCACTCAAATTCATGTAATGTAGTTTAGCAACGTATACCCTGATAGTATCGCCGCCTTACCGACATTTGAATTTCGGAAATATACCCGTTTCATTCATTTACATACACACTTTCTCTGCCTTTCTATATTTCTTCATAAATACATTTCTTCACTTTCCCTCTGGTCATTACCTTTCAACACCTAAACTTTGGTATTCCAAATATATTATTCAGGGTATTTTGTCAACCAAGTCACTGTGTCTAGCATGCCTTGCCAGTACCTATCCAGTATACACACACGCACACACATATATGTGTGTATGTCTTTATGTCACTCTGAATATTGATCCTATGTATTATCTCAGCTAAATCCACCAAAAAATCCAGAATAACATATAGGCCTATCTACAATTTTTAGCTATGTAGAGCCTTAAGTCACTTGTAATCTTTGCTCATCAGTCTTACCTTTACTGCAGCAGTAGTAATTTTGATCAGCATCAGCACAGACTTTGTTACACCTGAAAAACAATAATGTTAGGCTCATCTACCTCTACAACTGATATAATATAAATAGGAAGATAATCAAGACATAATAAATATAACCTACTTACCCACGTTTTGTGTAGGCTTGTGTGGGCGTTGGTAAAATTGGGTCTTTTGTAGCCCAGACTGGAGTGTAAGCTGGTCGTGTAGGGCGTGGGGTCTTCGTTTGCCAGGCTGGGATGTAAGTTGGTCTCGTGGGGCGTGGGGTCTTTGTAGGCCAGACTGGGATATAGGTTGGTCTTGTAGGTCTTGGGGTCTTAGTAGGCCAGATTGGGATATAGGTTGGTCTTGTAGGTCTTGGGGTCTTTGTTGCCCAAACTGGAGTCAGATCTGGCCTTGGCGGTCGAGTATACCATGGCGGTATGGGGTCGATAGGGGGTCTAGTGTTCCATGGAGGTGTGGGATCAACAGGGGGTCTAGTGTTCCATGGAGGTGGTGTGGGGTCAACAGGGGGTCTAGTGTTCCATGGAGGTGGTGTGGGGTCAACAGGGGGTCTAGTGTTCCATGGAGGTGGTGTGGGGTCAACAGGGGGTCTAGTATTCCATGGCGGCGTAGGATCTACGGGAGGTCTTGTGTTCCACGGAGGAGTGGGATCAACTGGGGGCCTCGTGTACCATGGAGGTGGTGTGGGGTCAATAGGGGGTCTAGTGTTCCATGGAGGCGTGGGGTCAACTGGGGGTCTGGTGTACCACGGGGGTGGTGTGGGGTCAATAGGGGGTCTAGTATACCACGGGGGCGGTGTGGGATCAACAGGAGGATAAGTGTTCCATGGAGGTGTGGGGTCAACAGGGGGTCTAGTGTGCCATGGCGGTGGTGTGGGGTCAACTGGGGGTCTCGTTGGCCACACAGGTGGAACAGTGGGCCACACTGGGGGTGTAGGATCGACGGGTGGTCTGGTAGGCCACACAGGAGGGACAGTGGGCCAAACTGGAGGTATGGGGTCTACAGGAGGCCAAATGGGCGCAGGCGTTGTCCAGCCCCAACATGGATCATAGCAGTTATACTGGTAACAGTATTGGTTGTTGTAGCACGGGACACATGGGTCGCACATATTACACCAGTTACTATAGTCATAGCAGTCGGAGTTTCTTTTGCCCCGACCTACACCTATCTCGGTAGCGTTTCCGACCACGCGAGGAGCAGGTGGTGGTGCAGCCCATGCTGCTGCCACGAGGAGGAGACAAGCCAGCTGTAGGGAAATGACAATACGTACATTTTGTAGGAAAGGCATGTGTAATGCAGTGTAAGATTATCTCAAACCTTTTGTTTTCAATATGAAGAAATATATATATATATATATATATATATATATATATATATATATATATATATATATATATATATATATATATATATATATATATATATATATATATATATATATATATAGATAGATAGATAGATACATACATACATATACATACATATGTGTGTGTGTGTGTGTATGTGTGTATGTGTGTGTCTGTGTGCGTGTGTTTGTGTGTGTGTATGCGTTTGACGCGCGCGTGGGTGTGTATCTTGAAATACAACTCTGCGTTTTGAAGCTTGCATTCGCATTTTAGATAGACCTATTGATTTTCGAATTTGCCTTTGAAGAGATCCAACTTTGTTACAGCTAGCACCAACACTAATTTTCTAAAATCATTATTCGTTTCTCCTACATTAGATGGAAAGGGGTAACTGAAAAAGCATAAAAATATATTTTAAAAAAGTACTCTACATCCGACTTAGCAATTTTATTAACAAAAGGAAGCCCAATAATACTAATCCAATGAAAAAAAAGAAAAAAAAGAAGAAAAAAAAAATATTATATATATATATATATATATATATATATATATATATATATATATATATATATATACCTTGTAATAATTTCATGCAAATCTAAACAGCCTTGCAAAATAAAATAATAATGATAATAGCAAATAACAGAAACTAGAGCCACTATAACTAGCATTCATATAAAGTATCAGTATCATAACTTGCAACAACTAAACTCGTTATAAAAAAACATGATCAGTCTAGACATGCGTATGCCTCTTTAATTAACTGCAAGCCTTTGTCACATACAGATGAACATATTACTCACCAAAACGGTGAGTCAATAGTGATAACATTTAGGTTAGAGGTTCTACGCTTTTTTCTAGAGATGAGTCGTTCGTTTTATTTCTAATTTTGCTATAATCATATGGTGTAACTGAAATAGAGATCAATAATTTTCAAAACTACGGCGAAAGTGATAATCCCCGTTGGTATTTCAACAGTTACATAACGAATGTAGACCACTTTGTGTATTGAAAGCCCATTACAGTTACTTTGTTTTTACAATATATTTTTTTTCAGTTATGGCGGGAATCTATAGAGAGTT